GGACAAATAATGAATAATAGTGATTGAAATAAATTTAGCCAAATAGATTTGACAAAGTGCAAATATTATGCAATGTAAGTTGTGTAACTTCGGACTTTTCCATGGCGACAAAAATCTACAATAGAAATCAATGGTTATTGGAAATTACACAACGCGATAGCTGTAGGTAAAATAAGAAGGATAGCATAAATACTGGATTGGAAAAAGCACAGGATTATCTGAAGAGATCAACAACCATTGTTAAACAATGATGGCGCAAGCTTAAGTGGATTTTTTCACTGAAAAAGGAACCTTCGGTTTCCTATTGAAAGCAAGCAATACACTTCAGGTCCCTATCCGAATGACACCGTTTTACAGACAGTCAAGAAGTCGATATAAATAGATATTGCAAAGAAAGTGATCCACGCTTCATACAGTTGCAACGTAGTAATTGTTAGCAAAATATGGGTTAAAAACAGTCATATAAGATGTGCAGGGCGCATTCGCACAACTGTTCGGCAGCGTTCAGACTTCCCGACGGCATTCGGTCGCGCGTTCGACACGATCGATCACGCATGCTTTCGGACTGCGTTGACCGACGAAAACATGCGCGATCAAAGTTGTGGCGAAGTCTGAACGCTGCCTTCCTCGGGATTCATGACACTCATGCGCGGGTCACGATCTTAACTATGAGTGTCTTATCTGAGGTGGTTGTGCGCATGCAGCGATGAAAGGGAAGCAAGTGGTGACGAGGCTGGTAGAAAGCGCCAGCGGTTCATCGCTAGCCGAACGGCTGGCTTGGCCACTACTGTTTGTTGAATCCAAGATCGGGAGCGCCGGCTGCGCTGCGAAAACTACACACGACGCCACGTGAGTTTGGTGGTTGTGGTGGACGAATTGGCTCCATTGGAGTCTCACGCTCCTCGTCGTAGCTGCCAGAGCGAACTTCACGAAGACGTTCGAGCTGAAATTATTAAGCATGTCTAACATTTTCCGAGGCTGTACTTTTCGCGGTTTTTCCTGTTTCTCATGTGTTATATACCCCTTATCCACTTGACAGGAAAGCTTTGGGAAAAAAAAATAGGAATTTTTCGGGGAATTCCGAAAAAAAATGGGAAAAGTGGTAGGAAGCTGGGAAAATCTAACAATCTAAGAGAGTGGAAGATGGATAGGGAAAGGGTGGGGGGTGCGGGCGTAATCTTCACGCGGCATATCAGAGGAGGGAACTAGGGAGACGTAACAAGGCACTTTAAAGGAGGAGGTCGTACGGCCTACCGAAATCCCAACCAATGATGTGCTCTGTTCACTAAATCCAGTCCCTAATCAAAGGTGGCAAGAGGCGTGGCTGCGAATCGGCAAGCGTGCGAGCGAAAGAGAGGAAGAGATGTGTTGAAGAGGATAGAAAATGCAGCTGTGGCCAGCACGCTCATTGGCACTCTCCGATAAGTAAAGATTGCTGGGGTGCACGAAAACAGATTGACAATCCAAAATGAAGAAAGTTGATAAGCAAACAAAGTCATTACGAAAATCCATATTTTTCGCTCAAAACCATGGTATACTTACCTGATATGAGCTGATTGGCAGCGCTGAACGGAACACTATCCAGTGTACCGTCTCACGGAAAGGCTCCACAGTTTCCGATCCCTCGTACATCCAAAACTCTTTAGTTTTCTCTGGAAAATTGAAATATAAAAAAACTGGAGCTCCTGTACGATATACAACTCATTTTTCGAATTTTTTTCCTTAAGGACATCCGAATCAGAAGTATACCATTTTCACTCTAAATTCACCACTTTTCAAACCAAATTCACCACTTTTCAAACCAAATTCACCACTCTTCTTAGACCAGTTCGCCAACCGAATCACGCCAGACACCACTACGAACCCTGCTCCGCGGTCACGCCTAGTTGTCAGCGCGGACCTGACATGACTGACTCCGCCCATTCTTTAAAGTTTGTTGCGAACTTCAAATCTTCATAACTTTTCAATTTTTAATTTCACATCCACTCTTCGCACAACGAAGGTACTCGTAGACGCGCATTCATGCACCGGCAATTTAGGCTCCGCCCCTTTGGCCACGCCCACTTGCTTTTTGCGGAATTTTGATATTTCCAAAATTTTTGCATTTTTGGACTGCTCCATGAAGCCCCGCCCACTGTGAGAGGCTCCGCCCACTTTGAAGAAGCCCCGCCCACTTTTCAAAAATGGTGCAAATCGGCAGTATAGAGCCATGGCTTGCATGGCAAGGGTATTGCTGTCATTGGAAACAAACTTTGCCTAATTTATTTGTTCCTAGTGACGGGCGAGGCCCTAGCATGCAAGCCAAGGCTGTATACTGCCATTTTTGAAAACTGGGCGGGGTTTCTCCGGAGTGGGCGGAGCCTCTCACAGTGGGCGGGGCTTCACGGGCAGTTCAAAAATGCAAGAATTTTGAAAAAAATCATAATCCTAATTCGCGCAGACAGCAAGTGGGCGTAGCCAAAGGGGCGGAGCCTAAATTGCCAGTGTGTGAATGCGCGTCCACGAGTCCCTTCGTTGTGCGAGGAGTGGATGTGAAATCAGAAATTGAAAAAGTTATGAACATTTGAAGTTTGCAACATACTTTTTAAAAAAGAGCCATCTGATTGAAAATTCTAGGTCGCAGTAACCGTCGGGGCAGGGTTCGCGGTGGTGTCTGGCGTGATTTGGTTGGTGAACTGCCTGGTCTAAGAGGAGTGGTGAATTTGCTTTGAAAAGTGGTGAATTTGGTTTGAAAAGTGGGGAGTTCAAAGTGAAGATCGTATATATGGAAGCCGAAAGCAATAGAAAGGCGGATGATCATTGCATGACCGCCACAAGTATCACAGTCAATTCAAAACAGGGAGCGTTTGATTCCGAAAGCAGACCGCTGCGCAACTCCTTCATTTTGTACAGCGAACAGATTTCCAGAATGTCCAGGGCGACAAGTGAGGCTACGTTCATAATTTGAGGCAGCGTCCACCAACGTCTACCCTTACCCACTAGCACTTCGAGTGTCTGGCAGAGTAAGCGACTAGGAAAGTATAGGTATCGATCTAGCGTCTACCAGCGTCCACCTGCGTTCAGGAGCGACCGCGAGCAGAGAGCATAGGGAGGCAGGAGGGTAGCAAACAGCTGGATTACTAAGGGTGAAATTGCAGCATGTGCAACCGCATCGCCAACTGCTAAAGCACAGAATTATACAATTTAATGTACGGGGCAGTGTAGTTTCATGGGCGGTGCACATACCACAACCACGACGCCTAATCCAGCTGTGTGCTACCCTCCTACTCCCCCATACACCCTATTCCCGGTCGCTGGTGAGCGCAGGTATACGCTGGTAGACGCTGATTGACCTAGACTTCCCTAGCCCTTGAGACGTTGGCAGACGCTGATGGACGCTGACAGACGCTGAATGGATATCTATATTTTCCTGGTCGGTAACGCTGCAGGACCAGCGGTGCTAGTGGACGCTGGTAGACGCCGGTAAACGGGCCGCAAAGTAATACAACGGCAGTGCTGAGATTCTTTTTTTGCCGGATTCGCAGCTGTGATGCTAATAAGTGGTGGTGGGATAGTAAAACTCTCCCCTCTTCAAAGCAGCGAGGATTATTCTTAGCTGTTCCTTTGCAAAAAATACTGGGTTTTTGTAATAGATGATTAGCCAAAAGTCATTTTAACTGATATGATGCATATTGGCTCTTTCGTCAAAGATGGAGTCCTTCCACGCTCATGCAGATAACCATTTGAGAACAATCTGCCGTACATCCTTCGCAACAACGTTTGAATCCTCTTTCACTACTGTGTGGCTGCCAGATACAAGGTTTTCGGCATGGCGACACAATAGCGTTCGTACGTGAGTGTGATTCGCTCCAAAACAAGCTTCCTAAGAATTCCAAAATGTCAAGTAATGCTGAACAGACCTGCGAGCGAGAAACGCAAGACTGTATACCTGATTCAATCACTTGCACGGCAGGTGGCTGGAAAGCGGCGAGATTAAATGTTCTATGTGTCACGAAACGACCTAAGGGGTGGTACCGAGAATATCCCACGCTCATTATCCACAGCGCAACGATGTGGGCAGCTGGAACACTTAAAAGAAGACCTCTCTCCAATGCGATCGGATTATTATTTTATATTAGGGCACACAGAAAATTGTAGTGTATATGTTGTAAGGAGCAATTTAAAACAACAAACTACTCCTGACAGACAATTACTAATGAATATTCAAAACGACAATAACAAATGGAAAATAACGTGAACTTGTGGACTAAAGCGTTTTCTCAGTAGAGTCTTGAATGTGCTGCAACTTAACGATGCTTTTTATCGAGTTTCTCACGTGTACGTAAAGCTCTGTAAGTAAAGAAATGACGCTTACTATTCAGCCTCGCTTTAGCAAGGCTATATTCAAAAGAACGGTCCGCGATCAAGTATCGAAGATGAATATGGCATCGGGAGGATAGTGCGGTCCGCGACGAACAACCCTGTACCGTTTTCGCGGCAAAAAAGTGCAGGGGAGGGGCGCTATAAGGCAAAATAGGTCCAGTGGTTCCTCCTTTTTTCCAGTGACTCCGCCTCCCAAGCGCCGCCCTTCAGTGAAAAACCAAGTTGTGGGACGAGAAAAGCATGAAAATCTAAGCGGCTTCGTTATTTGTACGGACGTAGGGTTGTATTGAGTCAGCTGAGCGCGCGGAGTGGTAAAACTGGAAATGTACTGCAAAAAGTATTGTATTGCAAAAGTGCACGAAATGTTGGAAGAAAATAGCAACATTTTGAATTTGAAAAGCAAAACACAAACTCAAAAAAAGAACAAAGAAACATAATGATACGATGAATTCACTGAAAAAATAAGAATATTAAAGGTCAGTCTTTCAAACGTGGCGCCACACCTATTTCTGGCAGCGAGCCAATAACGTGGAACGCTCGTCCATAAGCGCTGTTTCCCCATCGTATGCACGTACAAACTAGGATTGTAATGGGGTCCTATTTAGGACATTGGGCATGTTTTTTCTGCTTTTTCCTTCACTATTGTTTTACTCTAAACCTTGTCCTTTTTATGCGAAGCCCAAATTCACTATCTAAGATGGCAAATGAGCGCGGGCTTTGTCTTAATAGTGCTTCCCCGAGTAATAGACGATTTGAGCGAAAAAAGACGTCCAAGTTCAATAGGTCCACCGTGCAGGAGCTTATGCAAGAGCAGGAGATCGTTCCGCTTCCTCCTTAGCACAAGAGTAGACAACTCAAAGTTCTTGTTTCTAGCGGCACTGGAGGGAATTTGATCATAACGGAACCCTAAGTACGCGTACCATGAGCTTCCTAGTGAAGTTGTTCTGAACTCTCTCCAATGCGTTAATAATTTTGACCTTATAGGGATTGAACACGGGAGTGCCGTATTCTACAATTGGCCTGATGAAAGTCTTGTAAGCCTGTAAGTAGTATCGATGCATTTTTAGTTGCAAAACTCTGAAACAAGTTGTGAGTCATAACAGTAGCTTTCTTGGCTATTAACCTGCAGTGTGCATCAAAGTCAAGATTATCAGTCACCAGGAATCCCAAATCCTCGTCTATCGTGTAACAGTGCTGTCCACTGCGGCTGCCTAGGTGCAGTACTTTCTGGCTGGAAAGCGCAGATCACTGTTCTATATATGTGTCACGAAACGACCTAAGGGGGAGTACCGAGAATGTGGCTGCTTTTATACTTTGCGGCAGCGTGGCGTAGCGTAGCGTAGCGCCTTCAGCGGTCAGTGCCTCGGGAGAGGATGACATATTCGCATCCAGCGTTCCAAGCGTCGACCAGCGTTCTGCCAGCCTTTTCACCAGCGTATTCCTTATGCGTTTGCAGCGGCAGGGGAGTAGAGACTATGGGAGAGCTGGAGGGTACAAAACACATCGATTGCGCGTCTCTCACTCGCCCTCAGTCTCTACAATACACGTCGATTCCGCACTGCTCTGACGGCCATAGTCGTCAATCACAAATACCACGTCCCGATCCGCGTCTCTGACGGCCAACAGCAGTCTCTACAATCATACGTCGACTTCCGATGTCTCTTCACGCCACATTAGCTCTCTACTCCCCTAGCCGCTGCAAAACGCTAAGCAAAACCGCTGCCGTGAAACGCTGCGAGAACAACGCCTGGCGTACGACATAGCGTGACGCTGGTGACGCTGGAATGCTGGATCGCATATGCTCCTCTCGCCGCCTGCCGCTGATCGTTACGACTGGACAAAAGCGTACGCCCTACACTGCCGCGCAAAGTATATAAAACGCAAAAGATAAAGTAAAATCATATAGAGTTTTCGCTGACGACTTAGGAAGGCGGTTACAACAATCAACAAAACAGCAGTCACGTAACGGCTGTCAATTTTTACACTGCAGATGAGAAAAGTGCGCGAAGTTTGAAGCTTGTCCGACACGGACCCGTTGCCGCCTCACACCAAATTAGGCTGCGATATCTCGGGTAAAACAGCCTTCAATAAAACGGCCCAAGTGATGCCGGCTCTTCGTACACTGAGATTCCTGAAAAGACACAAATTGAGCCATTAAATAATTACCTCTAATAATATCTTTCTGGTGAGTAGTCCTCTAAAAATTCCTTTAGAAAGTTGAGGATACCAATCCATGCATCGCGATCTCAGTTTGCCCCACGATTCTCATAAATTTTAAGGAAAGCGGAAGCCGACAAATGCAAGAGAGTCTAAAACATTGACTTGAACTATCCCTCCAAATAATGACAATCATTAGCTGGAGAGGGCCCTTCCAAGCGAATATTCGTCCAAGGAGGAAATGTTATTCAGTCCGGCTGAAGACCTTCAACCTCAACAGAGTAGCGCACAGTTCCAGTGAAAAAACTCATCCGGCTGCCAGCCTTCCCAAGCTTGAGCCAGTGAAGGCGAGTCTCATTCACGACCAGAAAATACAATATTTATAAGCTGTATATTATTTGTCACACTGTTTCTTTGACCGAGTGAATACACCTTCAGAGGTCTAGTGGATTCGGGTAGTAGTGATGCTCAATGGTCCATGAAGGTAGAGACTCCTGATCTCTCCAGAGAAGCTTGATTCACCATGGGAAACAGCAGCAAATTCGGTCCGGCAATTAGATTCACCAAACGAAAACGGCGCAAGATATAATATTTGATACAAAGGACCCACTATAAACAAATGCTTTAGATGGAAAACGACACCAAAATCAATTTCCTCAAGCAGCGCATCATTCGCGCGAACCACACCCCCCCCCCTCCCTTCTTGAGGGGTGTTGCAGTCGACCACCATACCCCAATCAGTTCTAAATTGTCGAGCTGCTGAAGCGGAAGGCCGAGGCAAGGACGATAGTCGCCCCTTTTCTAACATTTCTTAAAATCCTTACCCGCCAACTTCCTGCCACTTTTTCCCGAAGTTCCCAAAGATTCTCCTACTTTACCCGATGACTTGAAACAGGAAAACCATGAAAGTCAGCAACCTTTCTTTCTCAGAAGCCCACAAGGAGGAAACCATCCCCCCCCACTCCCTTCCCAACAGAGAGCAAGTACGACTTCCCTTTCCCAGCGAAGTAATACATCCCCCTGCTGGAGAATCCCCAACAACGATGTGCCCTATTCTCGATTAATGAGGGTAGAATTATTTACACAGAAAGTGCGTCAAAGCGCAGACGGAACGAACTGATAGCGGCTTATCAAGGCCACAGAAGAGCAGTCTGTGAAAAGTAAGTTAAAGAAGAACCTCACTGCCTTCCTCACTTCAATTTATGCCTATGACACCACCTTAACTAAATGTGGGCAGCAGTAAAGTCTGCGTACGAAGGTATTCAGTCAATCAGCAATTGTTCTGGTTCCCCCTCTATTCGGATTGGTACTATTCTACTAGTATTACTCCAAAAAGCCATGAAATTTTTTTCGAAACTTTGCCCAGAGTCTGCTCCCTGATCACAAATATCGAATTTTCTAACGTCGCCAATAGGCGCCAAGTAGGCGCCACCACCTATCTCACCGAAATCAATGAACTCATATGCAGGTATTATTTAACAACCTGGTCACGCGATATTCATTCTTGGCGGCGGCACCAAAGTGGTGCACTCTGAGCATCTGCGCTCCGCTAAGGCTGAGCCTGACGGGAGGAGTAAATCCGTTCCGCCAGGCTCGCCGTAGCACAGCACTGATAATCGTAAAGTCCTTCATTAGCCAAAGAAAAAAATATATAGGATATTTATATATAAGCTGTCAAATAAGATTTATATGCACAAATTTTATCGATTTTGGTGACTGGGAGTGTTTTGGCGCAACGGTGTCTGGCTAAGCGGATGCGATATTCACGATCAAAAGTCAATGTATCCCTATGGACAAGTTGTCAGGGAATTTGATGACTTCGAGTATTTCGGCACCGGCGCTTGTGGTGCGGATGCCAGGCACTTTCAGGTCAGCGGTTGTGATATTGGGGTTGAGGAGGGCGAGCCATTCATGAAAACGTATTCCCAATCGAAACTTTCCTCGTAAAAAAAGTCGGTAAAAAGTACGATGATTTCGGGAGATTGTAGTAGTAATATGGAATCGTGTCATCGAATTTTGTGGACATCTCCTTTACATTCATTACAAAGTGGTTATCTAATATGTGACGTTGAAGAGTTTTTTTTTAACATGATCGTTATATTGTGTGTTCTAGCCTGCCACGACATGAACGTAATTGCCCGAGCATGTCTTAGTGGAGATATGTTATGACTGACATTGAGAAATATGGCAATTGCCAGCACTCCATTTGGTTGTTTCAGTGCCAATTCCATCGTTGGAAAGCGAGTATTACGATGAATCAGATGCAGCTCGCCGGCGTAGCCGACACCTTAAATAAGCTATGCGTTGGTCTGCGAAGTTGCAGTAACAAGAGTAGTGAGTACCTCCGATGGTGTGTTCAGAACCGTTCATGGGCTCAGTTCCCCAATGCCATGTCATCGCATCCAAATGATATTGCTTTTGGTGAGGTGAACGATAAGCCAAATTTTGAGTCCGTTGCCGGCGCGTGAGCAGTCCCATTATCGCATTGTCCCAAATTCGAGCGCGGAATCGCCCCAGGTGTTATAGGTTAAGTCGACCGCTGCAAATACAATTCGAATCACTTTCAAAATGGAGAGCTTGAAGAGTTTTTAGTCTGTGAAGGGACAACTTGACACAAACCATAAGTCGGGAAAGACTTTTAGGATTAACTAAGGAGCCAGAATATCGAAATTCATCTCTGGTCTGCTGTCTCGTTCTAAGCGTCATCCGACGTAGGAAGGAGGCCAGTGTAGCTTACATTCCCAGTAAGCGCTAATTTCAGTGAGTCATAGCATCGTCGATGGTGGCGGCAATGTCCACGCTTGTACCACGTGGGTGGTCACGCGGAGGAGGAAGCCAATTTGAGCCGAATGTGCAGCAATTCTACCTTTGGGACTAGCGAAGCCCTAATGGACTCGTTTGGGAGGGCACAAGATATGACAGTTGCATCGACTGGCCCCGCATGCCATTTTATAGGTTATGTGGCACTCATTAAGCGACCAGGACCGGAAGGGCTTGATCGACTCAAAAAGCTTGATCTTTCTTGTCGTTTGTTTCCACTCTGTGATGGGACCATTTTTCTCAATAGGTTTAAACATGATATGAGGAAGACCATGCAGGAGGAGGGGGACGAAGGTGATATAAAATGGTAACTCTTGTGAGCTCTATTTCAGTACGATGACTGCTCTTAAAGGCAGTTGGCACGATGATTTGGTGCTCGGCCTAAAATGCTAGTAGGGCGCTATATAGTGGGGAAATGGCGAAAGAACGGAGTGAAACGGTCAAAATCCTGCGAAGAAAGAGCCTCCGTTCTCAGTGTTTTTTGGACGAGTTTCCTGTAGGCATCTTGCCAATAACCGCTACCGAAGGTACGGCTGCATATGTGTACTCATATATCCATGCAGCATCACGGCCGCTTCATACCAATCCCTTCGCTTCATAATTTGCTTAGCAAATGAATCGATTAGAGCGTCAGGAACGGTCGTCCATTTGTGGGCGGGCGGGCGTGGGCGTTTGGGTCGGTATGTTGTGGCTTGATAGGGCCCTTATAAGGGCACCTCCCTTGAAAAAGGCATTATGCAGCGCCTGCTCAGGGTCGCGGAATTCCGTCCTGCCAGGCGTATTAATCCTACTCGTCTTGGGGATTTATCGTGCCAACTGCCTTTAAACCCCGCACTTCTCGCTCTGAAAGTTATCACAGGGTGCTGGGTCAGTGAGCAAAAATCAGACCTCTGCTGGGACTTGTACCCGCGTCTCCCGCTAAACGTGTGAGTACTGTAAGGCTATGGCACAAAAAGCCATTGAGCTGAAAGGGTGAAAGTAGTCCCCATAGCGTAATGGATAACGCACGCAAAGGCTAGCATAGGATCATAGGATGGCCACAATAAGGTTTATTGAATATCTGATTCAACCCGCTATATGTATTGAAACATATTCTCGAAAATGGCGCTTGTGCTGAGACAAATAGCTCTACATTTTCCAAGAGGCGCTCTCATATCTGCGATGTGGATCTACAGTCCCTTGGATGGCACTAAAACCCGGGAATTAAGGGCTCAATGATCTGCCTAATACTTTAACATCTGTCCTTTGTGAAATCTCTACTTTCCGTGGTCTTTGAACACTGAGAGAAGCCTCCCTTTAATTACAATAAAATAAGAAACGGTTAAAGTAGCAATGGGAAGTTGTCTAATTGCACAATGAGGGAACTCCTTTTCAGAAAATTTCAGTGACAGCTTTTCGAACGTGAGCCTCCTCTTTTCAGATAAACTGAAAACTACGCAAAAAAGCAGTACACCTTGATCGTTTTACATCCGCGCGGATGGCTAAAGTCAATCAACCGAAAACCGAGGGTACGGCTACCAAAAGTGATTTTCTACCTTTCATTTGTGCGCATGTTCTTTGAATTCATTAGATACTATACGCAGTAACCCGATGGTGGTCTACCTCTGTTGCTCAGGGTGTTAAGTGGGAAGCTGAAGCTCCAAACTACCTGCAAAACACGACCACATCTGCTCTAAAGTTGACCAGAAAAGAGGTTCCATCGAATGAGTCCGCAACTGCAGAAATGCCACGTTTTCCGGTCAGTCGCGGCGATCGCTACGATCACTGCGATCGCCAAGGTCGCCGCGATCGCCGCTGCTGTCGCAAAGTATGAACGCTGCCAAAGCAACAAGGACCAGGCTGGAGGGTAGTAATGCCCCAGCGTCTTCTCCACACTCCGCCCGCGCTACCTTCAATTAGCAGCGCTTGCGTCGGTACCGACAACCAAAAGTAAGAGGGCGCTATAAGAAGCGAGCGTGTTTAGCTATAGACACTGTGGCGTGGAGCTGAACGTTAGGCGACGCTTACGGAAAAAAACGGTACTAGTGATTAACTTCCAGTCCTATTTCCGTGTGCTTTTTAAGCGAAAAAATGGCACACTCTTGCAAATTCTGACCTATTCACCCCGTATTTGGCAAAGAGCAAGATCCACAGAGGTGAGCGTAATTTGCCTTCAATATCAAAACGATCAACGGGTTTGTGTAGAGCTTCCTATTCAGTGTGCAGCATCGTGTGTGTGAAACAGCTGTGTCAGTACGATCCCTCTCCACTTCAGGAAAGAGATTCTAGAAACCTCCTTCAGAATTCTGGTGGTGGTTCGTTCCGATTCCACTCAGACGTCACGTTCAAGTCACAAAAACGTTGGCTACGAAACTTGAGACGGGACTATGCTCTTCAGATGAATTGCAACTGATCTTCAGTTCGTATTACCTGAACTCAGCATTCTGAAGATGTTCTCCGAAGGATGTGATAACCGGTACGATGTCAATTGGTGAAGGGTAACGACCCAAACCAGATACATGTAGCACTTTGCCAAGCGAGTCGAGTTTTACCTAAAAATTACTGAGTAGGAACACGTCTCGGGGCAGTGACTGCACCCATTGCGATGCTTACCTTATTAAGAAATCCGTTTTTGGCATTCAACGCACTTTCGATCAACTTTGGTGCACCGTCCTGAACAACAAACATTTGTAAACCTCACAAATCACCACCATTTCGATGATATCACCTTCAGTGACTGCAGATGAGCCCCGACCGCTGGCGCTCCTTCAACCATCGTGGCTGTCTTCTCCTTGAGTGTCTGCAGGTGACCTGAGAGTTGGCTGAGAAACGCCATCTGCAATACAGATCATGATCACTTTCTTAGAGGATTCAATTTAAAAGCACATTTTCGCGTGTAGAAATATTGGAAAGTAAGGTTCGAATACGAATGCTCAGGAGAAAGCAGTCGGTGAGAAAAAATAGAGGAACATTCGGAAACGCGTTAAGTAAGACTCGCTTGAATTTGAGTGTTCAGTGAGCATGAGAAAAAAGACTGTGCGTGTGAGCGAGGGATAGAAAAAACGGGCACGAAGCTGATGTTACATGTACATGCCCCTTGGCTACGCGCTTAACATGGGCCTCATAGGCCCAGGTGATAAGCCTTGATCCTGCGCACTTCTGAGCCGCATGGAGAGGACGCATAATGTTAGTGGCTGTGGGCCCTGATCCCCTACATACATACTTGGCCGCTCACATTTCATCCCTCATCGCCAACTGCACCTTTGGAGGCAAACCCCACGATTGTATTGGGTTGGCCCGTAGAAGTGGCCTACACTTCTTACGGGCCAATCCAATACAAGTGACCTTTCTTCTACACAAAATTTTGTGCGGAAAGTAGAAATTTTACTCACTATGTATCACTTTGCTTAATAGAAAGTTTTCTATTCTATAAGCCAATGCTTGATTTCCCGTTATTATTTGATCTTTGTCAGTTTTTAGCTAATCAAAATGGAAAGTCGGGTAGACACAAAGGAGGTTTTCTGAAAAAAACCTTTTGTACTTAATCAAAGCTCCTCAGAATACAGAAGCGGCTCAAAACTTGCATGGTACGTGAGTGAGGATAGATGCCTCTTTGACGTGTTGGAGTTGCTTCAAGCGAAGCGACTAAGAGATGGGATTTATGACCCTATAAATGTGCAGCGCATAGGGCGCCCTCTTGGAGGGTGTGTGCCTGCCGAACCCACGCACCAAGTGTTTAACCTCTCTCATCAAGTGAAGGTTATGCTCAATGAACATGTGGAAGCATCCCATAAGTTCTATCACTTCCCCATTCTTTGGCATGGATCTCCATGAACAAGCTGCGTCAGTAGGCTCCCAACTGGATCCAGTAGTGCAGCATGTTGGATAGTAGTCAGTGAGGTCTGGATTGAAATGTTCGATTTGCTTTAACGGCTTCTTAAGATGGCTTCTTGGCCGTATACGTATCAAAAGGACCTCAGCGATTTCATCCTTTCATTATGTGGGAAAAGGTGAGGGTGTCGAAAATGCTCAATTCCGACGACATGACATTCCATTTCGGACACTTAAATATCAAGAAATAGGCTTTTCAAGAATTTATTCACAATGGATTATATGGCAGAAAATTCTCTATCAGACAGTGTAGGAATCGTTGGTGAGGCGCTCTGCCTTTGATGGGAAATACTAAGATATAAAAGACTCCATCACTTATGGGTCAAAACAATAAATTGTGAGAAAAAAATGCCATCACTCATGGGGCAACCCAATATACTGTAGATATGGCGTTCGGTTACAACTCTATACACCTCATTGACTCTCCAGGGGGGAAGCAAAAAAAAAACTTGGGGAACACCCTAAGTAAGCACCTGGCAGCCTTTCTGGACTAGTTCTCCGGATCTGCTCGTTTTATGCCAGCAAAGCGAGCAGGTCCGAAGAACTCGTCCAGAAAGGAAGAACTCGCCTCCTGCTGCTTCTGACTCACTAACTAAAAGCGAAAAACACGATGTCAAATCTGAACTCGAGACCGAAAATAGCCTTCGAGCTTTGGTAGGCGGGAGTACTAGGGAGGCGTCAGAACTGCCACTTATG